TGTGTGTGTGTGTGTGTGTGTGTGTGTGTGTCCCCCTCCCTCTTTTCCTCTCTCCCTCCCCCAAATGGGCAATCAGCTGTTTCTGTTTCATCATGTTCCTGGGAACCCTATTTTGAGCTGGTTACGAATGAAAGGGAGATTCGCGGAGGAATGCTCCTGCACTCAGGGATTTGTAAGCTTTTGGTTTTGTCTCAAGGCCTCATTTTTCTATGAGCGGATTATATATGTTTCATTGTCAGTATCTCATAGGGACTAGCGATCGGCAATCACCCCTGAACTTGTGTTCTTAAGAAATAGATCTCCTCCCAGGCAATACATCTGCATTTATTTGATTTGACTGTGGGGCTACGCTGTTGCAGGCGAGGCATGGGGATGAAGCAGAGGGAGGTTCCGGGAAGAGAGGAACGGAAAGTGAGAGTTCTGAAGACGATGGGATTGCTGCTATGGTCTGTTCCAAATTGCAAAGTGAGTGCAATCATAACGAAGAATGCGAGGTCGTGCACTCTGCGGCGCCCACTGCTGTGTGTCCTCCACGTAGTCAGCAGGCTGTCACTGAAGGCGTCGTGGAGAAGGGTGCGGGTCTTGAGAAATCCCCGCGGGAATGTTCCGATGTGATCAAATGCATGGAGATTCACGGACAGGAAAACTTGGGTGAAGAGATGGAGAAGCGTCAACATGATGAATTCCCATGTGTGTCATTGTCTCTCAGTAGAAAAGATGGATCATCAGAATCCCGCCATCATATCGATACCAAGGTTGATGGTCCAGTCCATGTGGAAGGGAGCGGACCCAACCCTGCTGTATCAACAAAGGACTGTGTGAAGGACTCTGTGGAGTACCTTGCAAATGAGCTCGACGCGCTCGCTCTTGTCTTTGCGATAGTAAAGGTATGTTGACTTTCTTGACTTTCTCGATTTTCTTGACTTTGTTGTTGCATTTGTTGACTTCTGTTGACTTTTGTTGACTTCTGTTGACTTCTGTTGACTTTTGTTGACTGTTGTTGACTTTTATTGACTTCTGTTGACTTTGTTGACTTTGCTGACTTTGCTGACTTTGCTGACTTTGTTGACTTTGTTGACAGTGTTGACTTTGTTGACTTTGCTGACTTTGTTGACTTTGTTGATGCATGTCGGCACTTGCACTGGCGTTCGCAAGATAGTAAAGTTGTGTCGACTCTGTTGGTGAATTTGCAGAAAGCATTGAGGACAACTCGCTCGGTTTTGTCTTTGCGATAGTAAACGCGTGTTGATGTTGTTGAGTCTGTTAATGCACATTTTTAAATGATTTTTGCAGATGCATGCCTGCACTCGTTCTGGCATACAAAATGTAGTTAAGTTGTGTTGGAGTCTATTGGTGTATTTGTGGAACACATTTACATTCCAAGTTTGTTAATGTCGCAATCGTTGAAGTAAAGAATGAAGCAGCCAGAGTAGCATAGAGGAAAAGATGTGAGCTTGAAGAGTGTTGATGGAGAGACAGAAGGGGGCTTTTTTTCCCTGTTCAAGGCGATTCGGAAAAGGGGCCTTTTTTTCCGTTTTTTTTGAAAATTTTCAATTTTTTTGTCACTTTTCCTCTATCAACACTCTTCAGGCTCAGAAGGTGCCGTTTTTGTCAGTTTTGCACTGTTATGATGAATTCTCAGGACAAGGTGATTGTGAAAGGGGCCTTGTGTTTTCCTCTTTTCTTTTTTCCTAAAGGTGATTGTAAAATTTGATCATTAGATGATTGGACAACATATCATGTTTATTTTGTTGAATAGTTATAACTTTATAGCTAGGCTGGGCCGGTGCCCGGCCGGGCGGACCCCGGCCGGTTGCCTCCGGGGGGGTCTGCCCGGGTGAACCGGGCGACGCAAAAACAGGGCAAGGAATTTTTTTTTTTTTTTTTTGAAGTTGGGGCTGTGCTGCGCTGCACTAGAGGAGCCCGAATCCGCAATAAAAAACCCCGGCCGGTTGCCTCCGGGGGGGTCCGCCCGG